AAAAGGACTTTTTATCAGAAAACAGTTGACAGGATCTGAGTCTTCAGCTGACAACAGTATTTAGTTAGAATTTAATACATTCCTTTTGCTTCCATTTAGTTATCTACATTTATATCAACTGATATTGACTACCTATTTACAGTATCAATATAAAGTTTCTTATTAAGTTAAATTTATTTGTGTCAGAAAGATAAGTGGATTTAAAGAAAACAGTTAATAGAACTATTAGTAGAACAGGTAGCACACATATTTGGCAATATTCATGAAAGTCATACTTAAGTTTGGGAAACCTTGAATGTATCCAATCCCCTCATTTTGTAGGTAAACTAAGGCCTGGTTGTTAAGTCATCTGTCCAGGGTCTCTTATTTGCTTATGGAAAAATTTGGACTCCTTTCTCTTTCAGACAATGTTCTTTTACCTTAACTGATTACTCATTTGTACTTTGAAACCAGTTAGTACAAATTGTATTATTAAAGTTTACGAATTCAGAGCCAGAAAATATCCTGGTAACATTTCCCTAGACATGTTCAGTAGACATTGATGGGCAATTTGAAATACAACAGAGGGACCATTCACATCTTTAAAATGAATCTTGGGTGATTAGTGGTATGTTGTTTCATTAAGTTGATTGTTTCTCAGTCATATTTCCCTTGGGATAATAAATTTGATAAAAGTCTTGCTTTTTTGGTTATAAATGAAAATCCACTTAAAGGCTTATCAGAGCAAAAAAGTAAAACTACTAAGTAGAAAAAGCATATATTGCAGTGTACTGTGTTGGGTATACTTAAGCACAGTTTCAATCCTACAAGAATATTTGGTCTTTTACCATGTAATTATTCCTCCATTTTAATTAGGATTCTCCATAGTCACACTGACTAATATAATAGAAAAACTGATTCCTCCATTCCTAGATCCTCTTCCCACTTGGACCCACTTTAGAAGTCTATCCAGAAGAGAGCTAGGGAAGTGTGTTAGAGGCCTGAGTTCTTCTCGATCCTAGAAGGGTGCTGAGGACACGTGCAGCTGTTTGTTGTTACTGATCCGTCCTTTCACAGATGCCATTTTAAAGTGACATGTATGAATTAAGTGGCCATCAATCTAAGCAGGTAGGAATGTTCATATCATTTGGCAAATAAGGCTGAAAATAGAAAAAACACCCACTTGAATCAGTTCTTGATCTGACTTACATATTCAGACCGCATGTTCTGAAAAATGAGTGAAACTTCTTAGATTAAAGAAATGACCTAAATTTGGGATTATTTATACATTGGCATTTAAAAAAACACCTTTTAGTGAAAATTGGTTTAGTTAAGTCATTTCCAGGAAAGATATACTTTCTTAGGCTATGCCCTCTGAGTTACAGATGTTGGTCTGATATTTACCTATCAAAGGTGAATACAGGGTTGGGCAGGAGCAGGGAGATCTGACCCTGAGACTCCTCAATATCTAGTGCCCTAGAGTGGTAGACGCCATCACTCCTGAAGGTGCTGACTGTGTACTCCCTCAAGTGCAAGCAGTATGACTGGCCTGCATGTACTGAGCTCTGGAATAGGGAGACTGAGTGCGGTAGTCCTTCTCAGGGCGATACCCAAATGGGAGAGGTGAACAGATCGACTCGTGATTGTTCCGGGCAGTGTCTTTTCAGGTGAACACCTTTCACCCAGGTAGGAAAGCAGCTTGGCAGCCTCATTCCTGAGGGTTTCTGCAGAGAAGCTCTTTGCACACTAGCCATTAGAAATTGCTAATGGGCTAACACCTTCTCGGGGAAAACCACTGCCTCTCAGCTGCTGCTGTCAGTCTTCAGGATGAGTCGGCATGAGGGAAAGCCTGGGCCAGAGGGGCAGGGAGGCTAAGTGGTTGGTGGGAATCGAGCCAGATAGCAGCATGTGGGGACCTCTCCTGCCCCCTACTTTTGCTCTCCCTGGTGTCTGTGTCTGATGCTTCCCCAGAGACATTTGGCAACGTCTAGAGACATGTTTGGTTGCCACAAACAGGGGAGGGCTACTGGTATCTACTCACAGAGGCCAGGGATTTTGCTAAACATCCTGCAAGGCACAGGAAAGCCCCTCACAACAAAGAATGATCTAGCCCCAAATGTCAACAGTGCCAAGAGCTAATGTACTCAGGGCTTGCAACCCTGATGTAATGGTTATAACAATTCTGTCATCATGTTACCTTACAAGGTGTTAGAAAGGCTGAGCTTCTGGTGCTAAATGGCACGTAGATCTGACTAAAGCAAGGTTCTCAAGTACAAAGAGCACATTGCTGTGGTTACATAAAAGGGAAGATTACATGCAGACCATGATGTCTGTCTTTCTTTAAGTCCAAGAAACCCAGGTGACACATCTGAAAGATGAGTCCTGGGCTAAGGTAACTAGCAGGAAGAATTTGAGTTAAAGTTCGTCCCAAGTGAGAAGCCTGTCATCACCCCCTGCCTCTTTGTCTGCATCACAACTGTAGGCCTCACAGCCTCACCTGGCCAGAGCCGCAGCTGGGGACCGTGGCCGACTCCTGCTCAGGGGCTCAGTCTTTAGCACTGTGTGGGGCTGGACAACTTGGAGTTTCTGCTTGAGGCTGAATAACATGTGTCGTCTAGAAATAAGAGTTTGTGTCCTGGGGAAAATGACTGTCTACTTTGAGGTTGTCCAAAGATTGTTTTGGGAGTTAGAGACCTCGAAGAGTGTTAAACCACCAGATATCCAGTTACTGCTGTGTGGCATCAACAAAAGTGAACTTGGAGGATAAGGTGGTTGTGGGAGATGATGGCTATTTCTCAACGTGAAGGGAACCACACCTTCAAGAGTAATGAAAAATAAAGCGCTTTCCTCATTAGAAAAGAATCATCCATTTCCTTCTACTGCCAAAGGCCGTTTTTACCACCAATACAGTGAGAGTATTAACCTGGGAGTCATTGCTCCAGGAGGAAAAGAAGCTAGTTCTCTGGGATCCTCAAGGGTCAGTGATCATGGGCAGATGGCACTGAACAGAGAAAGTACTGGGGGCTGAGCTGAGCCATTACAGCATCGAGTGGTCCTGTGTGGAGGTCATAACTAATGGCATGTGAACAAGTTCTGATTTGCTGAAAAGGAAACTAGAAGAAATAGCTAATTTTGCTTTGAGCAAATTTCTGTCTCAATCAGAATAAAAACAATGAGTGCTATTCTTTCCCCAGGTAGGAGAGTCTAAATATGCATTGGATCCAAACCTATTAATCATTCTTTAAAATTCTTAACATTTTAATCATCCTTTTCCTGCCACAACTTTCCAAACCCCCATCATCTGAAGGGTAAATTATTTTACGGCCCTTCTAGCTTATCTTCAAGTCTTCATTCTCTTTCTATTTCAGTTCATCCAATAATAGTGCCAGGAGTAGTAGTAATCATATTAATATTAATAAAAATGACCTGGGAATGCTGCAGAGATCTCACCTCAGCAGTTCCCAGACCAAACTCATTCTCTCACCTTGCAAAGCTCTGCTTTGCCTTATTCCCAGGATGTACCGCCACCCACCTGGTGAGTGATCTGTGGGCTACTCTGTAGTCTTCCTTGGCCCTCACCTACCAAATCCAATCAGCCAGCAAGTTATGTCAATTTGACCCTCCAATCTGGCTGCCTCTCTCCAAGTCCATTGTCACTGTTTTAGTTGGGGGCAGGGGTTCAACATCTCTCTCCAGGGCCACTGCCTCCCAAGTGCTTTACTTGTCTTTGGTGATGTTTCTGTCTAAAACTTTGGCCTCCAACCTCCAGCTTGCTCCCTCTGTAGTGCAGTCATTCCCTTGGCTGAGACTGATTAGGGCTTCTCTAGTGCCTGAGGTATTGGTTCTCAAATGTGGGTCCCTGGACCAGCAGCATCACCAGGAAATGTGTGAGAAACGCACATTTTAGGGCTCCACTCTGAACTGCCTACTGAATCAGACACTCTGGGGGTAGGGCCCAGCTCTCTTCAAACAAGCCTTCCAGAAGAATGTGATGTGCAAAGTTTAAAAACTGAGGTTTGTGCTCTAAGGTAATAAAACCCAATTCCCTCAGTGTAGTAGGTTGAATGGTGTCCCCCCAGAATTCATGTCTACTCAGAGCCTCAGAATGTGACTTTATTTAGAAAGAAGGATCTTTGCAGATGCAATTAGTTAAGAATCTCTGGATGAGATCATCCTGGATATACTGTGGGTTTTAAATCAATGACTGGCACCCCTATAAGAAGAGGAGAAAACGGAGACACACACAAGGAGAAGGCCATGTGAAGATGGAGGCAGAGATTAGGGATATCCTGCCAGGGGCCAAGAACTGTGATGCCTGGGCCTAGCAGAAGCTGAACAAAGCAAGAAAGATTTTCCTTGCAGCCTGCAGAGGGAATGTGGCCCAGCTAACACCTTGACTTCCAACTCCTAGTCTCCAGAACTTTGAGAGAACAAATTTCTGTTATTTCAAGCTTCCCAGTTTGTGGTACTTTGCACATTAGCCCTAGGAAACCAACACACTCTGCATAGCACAAAGGGCCTTTGGGTCTTCCCCTGTGCCCTAATCTCGCTCCTGTAATTGGTCCCTGTTCATTGATTTTTCTACGGTGCACCTGTTACATATGAAGCCCAAGATACAGCAATGAGGACGATTCAGTGCCTGCAATCGCCGTGGAGAGATAATAGCAGTGGTGCAGGCAATTGTCGCATGATGTGTTAGGTGCCTTGGCGGGGCTAGAGCTGCACCTGGCAGTGGCCCAAGCCTGCTTGTTCCTCTCTACATGTACTCCTGTGCTGCAAGGAATGCCCTTCTCCGCTTATGAATCCTCTTCCACTCGTTTCTCCCGCATAGGCTCACTCCCTCCTCTATGCAATTTCTGAACTTGGTTTAACTGGATATGGTTCTGTTAGTGCATCCATCACATATCATTATAATTATTTATTTCTTCACCTAACTTGCTAGACTCTGAGCTATTTTGAGGGCATGGACTGTAGGCTGTTTTTTGCTTTTGTTTTTATCTTATTCCTCTTTTTATCTATAGAGTCTCAAACAGTCGCTGGCTCATGGTAGTTTCTCTGGAAGAATGTGTTGACCTGACTAAAAGGATGAGAGTGGCTTCCCTCCTCTCCGCTGGCAGAGGGACGCTTCGCAGCTGCCTTTCCGTGAACAGCTCTAGGGGGTGAGGTGAGAGAGCACAGCCTGGCCCGGGGGGAGGAGTGGGCAGAATGGGCAGTTCTCTGGGTTGCATTTGGTGTGAGAGTCTGGGGAGGTGGCTGTGTAGCAAAGTAGGCTTGAAATGCCATTATCTGGGCGTCTCTGAGGCTGAGTGATGAGAGAGGGTCATAGTCAAAGCTGGGGCACTAGCTCTAGCCTAGGCCTGTGAGAAGCTTTTGCTTCAACGTTGATTCTCAAACTTCAGCGAACATCAGAATCACCCGGAGAGCTGGTTCGGCTGCAGTTGCTGGGCCCTACCCCCAGAGTTTCTGATTCAGGAGATCTGGAGTGGGTCCCAATGATCTGCATTCCTAACAAGATCCAGGTTATACCAGTGATGCTGGACTGGGGGCTACATTCAGGTACATTTTTGCACTTGAGGAATACCTGGCATTAGATCCAGAGTTTTCAGCTTTGGGTACATTAGAATCATTTGGGGAGTTTACAAAGATAAAGATACCAGGACCTTACCCACTCATTGGCTTGGGAGTGGGACTGGGGGATTTGGACCCCAAGTGAGTGAAACACTGGTTTGATTAAGGCTCATTTAGAAAAGGTAATGAATTCATCAAACTTTTATTGAGTGCTTGTTATGTGCCAGCATTGTACCAGTAATGGTGATGTTAAGATGAACAAGACACAGTCCTACCCCTAGGGAGCCGCCAGTACAGCACGGGGCAGATGTATAAACAGACAGTTCTCAAATCACTGGGAGAGGAGTGGTGGTGTTACAGAGTGTTGTGGAAGCACTAAAGAGCCCCTAATCCAGCTCAAGGTGTGTGTGTGCCAGGGGGCAGGGGGTGCAAAAAGGAGGAAACTCTGGGATGGGGGTAAAGAGGAGAGAGAGGATGATCCAATTCAATAGTTTTAGAAGGCATGGTGTGAAGAACTTCTTCCTAAATCCAAATCCATGTTTGACCTCTTACTAGATGTGCAACCTAGCACAAATTACGTAGCCTCTCTTTTCTTCACTTTTCCCAGACTTAAAAGGGGAATAATGCTAGTATTTTCCTTGCAGAATTGTGGCGAGGACTAAAGGGCACACACATGGAGTGCTTGGGAGAATGAAGGGCTCAGATTTCATGGACCACAGCCCATGCCCTTAGAACAGCTCAGTCTAGCAAGTACTTGAAAAATGTCGGTTATCATCATTGGCTTCATTTTGGAAGGCCCCCTGTAAGCCTTCAGTTATGCCCATCACTCCTGGGAATTTGGTTCTTGTCTCTGTGAGATGGAGCAGAGATACACTGGATTGCATCTCTATGCCAGGTGGCCGCAGGCTCCTGTGGCTTTAGAGTTCTTGTGTCAGGTTTTCAATCTGCATATTCTTCCTCTGCCAGTGTAATTGCCCTTGGCAGCCTTTGTTTTCACCTCTTCAAAATGACTGCTTTTTATTTACCATAGACAAGAAACTCCTAAGCCAAGATTGTGTAATTGTGTCTAAAACATAGCTAGACTTTCAATGGGAGACTTGTTTTTTAAATAAAGAAGGCATGCTTTTAGTGCATGTTATGTTTTGCCTTTGGAGACCCTTTTTGTTTTCTCTTACACTCATGGTGGTGTTCTGGAGGACTAGCTAACTGGGATAGGAGAGTTATGCCTGCATGGTCTAAGTGGGTCTAAGCTGGTTTCTGCTTGGGGTTCACTGTGATTATGTGAGTTTGGGGATCGCAGTTTAATGCACATGCTCATTCAAAACCATACTTACTCTATCTCAATTTTCCAGTCACCTTTTTTTGCCTGCCTCCAGCTGCCCTTCTGTGCTCAGATAACTGCACCTATTCCCCACCTGTCGCAGTGCTCCCAGGAGTTCCTGATGTATCTTCCTCTGAGCTCACCTGGTGCTTGCCTACTGCAAGTCCCAAACTGTTCTCCATTTTAGGCAATAGTTATGTTAGCTCAATATTGGCATAGCAAGTCATAAACGGCACATTCACAAACACTGTGGCAGATCGCTGAACAGATGTTCTGACATTTACAAGTTGGTTGTCAGTATGGGCACTCACAATGACACCTGCTTTTGTCAGCAGTGTGCTGATCTGATCTGATGTGCTTCAGATCAGTGTTTCTCAAACTCTATATGAGCATCACCTGGGGGCTTCTGTAAACCCCAGTGCCCAGGCCAACCATTAGAGCAATTAATTCAGACTTCCTGGCAGTGGGACTCAGGCATTAGTGGCTTTTACAAATCCTGAGATGTTTCCAGTGTGCAGCCAAGGTTGAGCGCTTGTTCCCAGTCCTATGCTTCTTGGACGTTAATGTGCGTTGGAATCACTTGAGGGTCTTGTGAAAATGCAGATTCTGATTCCTCAGGTTTGTGTTGGCCTGAGATTCTACATGTCTAACAAGCACCCAAGCAACCTGGTTGTTGTGACTTGTCCAGGGACCACTCTTTGAGTAATAAGGCTCTCATCCTTTTTTAGCTCCTGTTCATTAGTCTTGAAAATAATTTTCCAGAAATCATTAATCCCCTTGAGTTTGTGATCATTTCTACATTCTTTAATGGCTCCCCTAAATCTGGCTCCCTCCCTATTGCTCTGCCCCTACCCTATAGCCACTCTCCTATGGCAAAGTAATCTCACTATTGATTTGAATTCTTTGCCTGTAGGTAGTGATTCTCTTGAAAACAACCCACACAACAGAATAGGAGTCGAGCTAAACATAAGCAGATTTTTCTGTGGATGTTGTTTTTCTATCTGTGCCCAAAGCTTATTGAGCCCAAGGATATGTCCCCCAGGGTAAGCAAATTCTTTGAACATTGGATGGTGTAGCAAATGATAATAACCCAGTATCTCAGTTATGACTGCTTCAAATGGGTTAGTCACAAACACTCTTCAGTTCAAAAAAAATCATTAATGATGGCAAAAGCATTGGGGGAAAGCACAAAGCAAAAAGGTAATTTTAAGTTTTCAGAATTGTCTAGGATTCTATATCACAGTGCCTTGGAAAATGTAATTTCCTGGCTAAAATTCTATTGGCTGTAGAGCAATGTTTGTCAGATAATTACCTGTGGAACCTTGTCTGGGGACATAAGTGTCAGGGATTCAAAACTTTTCTAGTAGGCTTTTTAAATAGTGTATTTAATGCTGATAATAACTTCAAATCTAATACAAAGCATATTGGATCATCAGAATGACCAAGAGCTAGCACGTGATTTCAATGCCTGCATCTGTGTTTCTATAATGTGTGATTATATGTATGCCAATGCTTTTATTGTTGAAGGCTAGTGGTAAATAGACAGAGAACAGAGGGAGGTTTAATGATGCATTTTAGCCAAGAGAAGACCCGATTGGATTACAGGGAGTCTTACAAACAGAAGTTTCTAAGTAATTTGGATAGAGAAACATGATAGGAAAACTAAGAAGTCACACACCACTTCATGTTTAAACATGCTGCAACTCAAAACCATATTATAGTAAATCAGGACCATTTTTAAACTGTTCCAAGACCATTTTTACATTGATCCCAGTCATTTAATCTCAACAAAATAACATCATCTATTATACTAAGTCAATAATATACCTTTGCATATAAAATACTAGTATTTTTCTAGTATTTAATTTTGTAAATTTGTTTTGGTTTTGTAGGAGCTTCAAAGCTACAAGCATAAGTCACTTTCTAATGCAAATAATATAAGTCTCTGCCGGGACAACTTTTTGTGCTTTAAAAAGGTTTTGCATTTACTTATTTAGAAACACAGTCTGAAAATCTATTCATTCCTTGCGCACATATTAAATTCCATTAGTATTTTCTAAAATGTCATAGCAGACATATCGTGGCATCCTGCTTTCCCTTCTAAGGCACTGTTGGGAAAGTAAACTGAGTAGCTAGATTACATTTTACATTAGCTCCAAGTATTGTAACAAACATTTGCCAGGGAAAGATTTCCCTGCTTGGATGTAATGCCTGATGATGGCATTTTCAGACTGGAAATATGACAAATCATTGGTGAGTGGTACTGGGCCCGCGAGATAGCCTGCTCATTCCTATGATTCAGAGGGAAAATAAAGTGCTTACAGACTGCTGGGGCTCTGGCTCTCCGCTCCCTGAAGGGTGGCTGAGAGGCTGCACGCCTGCCGAGGGTAGGGTGTCCCCTTTGGGCAACTGTTGACTGCCTTCTGAGAGGGAGTAAGACTGGCTCTGAGGATTCAAAAAAGAAATGAATAAAAATCCTAGACCAGTCACAAAAGCCAGCTGCCCTATGGGGCTGGTTTTCAAGGGACACAAATGTCTTCCTAAACTGCTAAGGCCCAGACCGAAGGCCATTTGCTATTCCTGAAGTCCCCTACATCTATCAAAAGTATTTTAAAAGTAGGTTTCAGTTTCTCTGAGTGGAAGGTTCACAATCTTGGCTAGCATAAAAGCGTTATTTACAGATGACTTAAAAAATAACACCTCTCCGAAGAAGGTATCTGTAGGTTTGCAACCCTTGAGTGCAAGTTTAATTTACAGCCAAGGCAAAAACCTTTTAAACAAAGTTAAAGTCTACAGAAAATTCTGGTGGTTTTATTTTCTTACCCCTAGCATACACACAATAAATATTCTCACTGTGGGAAGCTATAGTAGGTATAGCAAAACCTTATTAAAATTCTTACTGCAGCAGCTTTAGATGTACATTTTTTCAATGTAAAAAAATTAAGATTTAACTCCAACCTGCCTGTGCTTAGTTGGTTCCAAATGAGAGTGTGTTTGTGTTTAGTCACTAATAGTTAATAGATAGGCTAGTCACATGAGCCTAAACATTTCAGAATAAAGTGAAATATTGAATCCATTTTATGGATATTTGCATTGCAGATCTCTGGATGTTTGGTGCTGTTTAGAAATAATACCAGAATACTTTCATCTTTCAATTCAAGTTAAATGGATTGAAGTAATTTTAACTCTGTCTACTGATATTTGTGACATGAACCTTTTTTCTTCACAAAACTCTCTGATAGACATAGTCTATGAAGTTTTGTGCAACTTTGCTACAAATAGCTTTAATCAAACTTTACACAAATACATCTTAACAAATTTACTCTGTGCAAGGCATTGTTTACTACCTTGTTTTAAACAATTTTCTTTAGCCCCTCCTGAGAGATTTATGACTAATGGAAAAAAAAAGTATATTCCAAATGCGTTTTAAAAGTATGGTAGCTGTTGTGAAAACCAGCAATAAGGGAGTGATCACAATGATAAAATATAAAATAGAATCATGAATTCATTGTTTAAATTATTTTGCATGCCACCCAAAATTAAAACTTTGATTCCCAAAGGTAATACTTACATGACGATTGCCCATTTTCGTTTTTCTGAGATAGTTGTCTGTATTTCATTAAGAGATCAGTTGTCCTAAATGCCAAGTTTATAATGGATTTCTCAGGGCATGATATCTTTTGAGTTTAATAAGTAACTTTTGTTATTGAATTTGAATACATTGTGAGGGATGGGGTAGGGCGTGGCAATAGCTACAAATGAGCTTAACCTGCCCAAGTTACACTGGTAGGCCATCCTTAAAAAATAAAATACTTATTAATAAATCAAGTGTAGGGTTCTTAAGTCAAATAACTTATTCACAACTAAGGGCTAAACCTGTCTCACTTGTGGGTTATTGAAAGAGTTATTCCTCTTTTATTTAGAGTGCTCATTTCAAATTATATGCCTTGCAATAATAAAAGCCCTAACCAATAAGACTGAAAAATCTTACTATTTTACTAGCGTCACTATTATTATTACAGAGAGAATCTTTCTGAGGGCTACATTAAGTTATACTAACATTTTTATAATTTAGTTAGCTTTTAATGTAAAAAAGTAGTATGTGCAGATGGTAAAATTTTTTTTCTAAGAATATGAAAAAGTACAGGAAAAGTAAGTTTCTGGCATCTCAGTCCCTGCTCACAGTGGTTTCTTATGAGTCGTTCTAGAAATGGTACACATACACAGCCATGTTTGTCTGTATATCTGTCTCTCTGTTTATCTATCTATCTATCTATCATCTGTCATCTATGTGTCTACCTCTAGCCTGTTTTTTCTTAACAAATAGGTTTCTACAATGCATTCTGTTCCATGACTTGTATGCTTCATTTGCTGTAGAGTCATGACATTGGCACATTTCTGTTTCTGTGGCTTCATGGTAGTCTATTATGAGTATGAATCAAACCTTATTTCATGAGTTCATTCTTTGGTCTTTTGCATGAATATCTCCATTTATGCATCTTTGAATATGCATGCATGTTTATCTGTAGAATAAAATCCTAGAATGCAATTGCTGGCTGAAGAGTATGTGCATTTAAAATTCCAATAGATATTGCCCAGTTGTCCTCTGCACAGACATAAAAGTACCTGAACCACTCTCAAAGACCAGCTGACCCATGGAGCTGACTTTCAAAACACAAAATGTATACCCCCCATGACAATATGCCAGTGCTCATTAGTGCCAACAATAAACATCACCAAAGTTTTTCATTTCTGCCAATTTCAGAGATGAAAAATGGTTATCTCACTGTTTAATTTACATTTCTCTTTTGATATTCTTAAAGTTCTATATCCTATTCCTTAAAAGCCCTTTGCAGAACCTCATCTGTAGTCTGCTTATATTCTTTATTTTTATTTTGAGTTATTAGTCTTTTCATTATTTATTTGTAACAACATTTTATTATAATGAAATCTAGGTCTTTGTCAAGTGTAACAATTCTTTTTCCCCAATTTGTTGTCTTTTGTCTCTGAGTGTTTTGAGTGTATATGTGTGAGTGAAGAAAGTTTTAGTTTTTATCTATTTAAATATATCAGTGTTTTCTTCTTTGGCTTGCTTAGAAAAACATCTCTGCATTAAGATGATTAAAATTTCTTGTACATTTTCTTCAAGTTCTTTAATGGCTTAATTTTTTAAGACTTACATCTTTGATCCATTTGGAATTGATTTTGATATGGAGTAAGGAAGGAATAGATTCAGCTTTAGTTTTGGTTATTCAATCAAGCCTAGATAGTTACTAAATAATTTGTCTTCCTCTTCTGGTCTAAGATGCTATCTTTATTTTATGCTAAGTTCCCATGTAACATAATATTAAAATTCTGATAGGCTTATTAAATTTTGCTTGATTATATTAATGTGCTTGTTCTTTAACCTTTTATCTACTGAGTGTCTTGGATGTGCTAATTGCTCAGATTATAAGAGTGAACAAGATGGATATGGATATGAATTTCTTCCTAGAATGTAGTCGAGTGGAGGAGGTATACAAGAGATAAACCATTACAAATTGTTGTATGGGCTGTGAAGAAAATAAACATGTAAGACACCTACTGTGAGAGAGGCTATCCTGTGTGTGTGTGTGTGTGTGTGTGTGTGTGCGCGCGCGTGTGTGCGCGTGTGTGCGCGTGCGCGCAGTTTACCTTAAATAGAGATAGAGCTCATCAAGGAGCTAACATTTAAGCTGTGAATCAAAGGGTGAAAAGGAGCCCATCATTTGGAAAGAGAAAGCATTCCAGGTCAGAGGTTCTTAGTCTGTGCTAAGACTCAGAAATAGGAAAATAGCTTGTAAATTGAAGGAAATGAAAGATGGCCAAAGAGACTGGAATCTAGTGTGTGCCGGGCAGAAGGATGAGAGCTGGAGATACAGTGGTAAATAAGACAAAACTCTCCTTCTGAAACTGATGGAAAATGGGGGAGAAGACAAGGTGAGTTAAGATAATAACTAATGCTTGACCATTCGCTATTATTTTGCCTTTGGTGTCTAGTCTGTGCTCTGTAGCCCATGGCCTCCCTCTCCCAGCGCCAGGTTTCTCAGGGCCAGATCGTCCTGCCACACCTCTGGTTTTGGAACCAACCTCTGCATCACTAATCCCTCCCAGAACCCTTGATCAGTGAGATCTCTCCACCCTGCCTTCCTCTCCCACTCCAGGCTGCTAAAGCTCAAAGTTCAGGAGGAACAGGGCAATTTGACAGGCAGTGCTCAGGTGAAGATAAGTTCTGTTCCAGGGCTCAGGAAATGCGTAAAGAAGAGATATAGTTTATGGCTCCAGGGAGGTGAATGATTTAAAGCTTAGAAACCAAGTAAGAAACTGACATGCCTTTTTATTTTTCTAGATTCTCACCATACCCACCTCTTGATTACTTATATTTGCCTACATCAAGTTTGGATTTGACAGAATCAGAACCATGCCTGGTGTCATCTCCTTTTCTCCTTCCCCAGCTGGATGCTTCTGTAGGAAGGTGGCCGGGATGATTCCAAGCAGCAGCAGTGGGAAAGGAAGAGGGTTTCCTGTGATTTCTGGGAGGCGGTCACGTGTGGAGGTGTAGAGGGGAGAGGAGAGGGACTTCCTGGGAGAGAAGAGTAAGCAGACCTCACAGAACAGGGATGGGAGAGTTGTTTTGTCTTGTGTCATTATAAATATTTAGTGATATAAGTTATTTCAGGTGCTGCATAATATCTTCCTTTACTAAATTGAGCCTGTTTATTTACATCTCTCAGATTCTGGTGGTTCACAAAATGATGATTCCAGCCAACATTTGAATATCCTTCTAACCTTATGAGTCTCAATAACAAATCATAAATTGATCTTGCCAAAGAAAGCCTTTCCTTCTGTGCTGCCCACCAAGGTTAAGTTTCCAACACTTCAAAATTGTTACATGTCCGTTATGCTTTAAATTGTATCCCCCCAAAAGCCATGTGGAGGTCCTAACCTTCAGTACCAGTGAATGTGACTTTATTTGGAAATAGTCTTTCTAGATGTAACCAAGTTAAGATGGTATTGTGGTGTCCTTATAAAAACAGGAAAACACCAGGTGAAAACAGACATACATAGGGAGAAGGCTGTGTGATGACAGAGGCAGAGACTGGAGTGCTTTAGGTGCAAGCCAACAAATGCCATGGACAGATGGCCACCCCCAAATGCAGGAAAAGGGAGGGGAAGGAGTCTCCTCTACAGGTTTCAGAGAGAGAACAGCCCTGCCAACTCTGTGATTTTGGCTTCTAGCCTCCAGAATTGTGAGATCATAGATTTCTGTTGTGTTAAGCCACCAAATTTGTAGTACATTGTTACAGCAGCCTTAGGAAACTAATATGTTAAAACAAAACAAAAAAAAAAGTGTCAGTTGCTGTGATTCTTACAGCAAATGCACTGTGCTGTGTAATTTGTATTTAATAAACTTTTGATTCAAAAATACTTTGGGAAAATATGTTGTATGATATTAAACCACAGGTATTTCAGATTATTTTGTAGCTATACCATATTCATTAAAATAACAAAAGCACACAGATGCTGATTTTCTAAATAGAATGGCCAAGTTGCCTGCTATCTATTTCTGCAGGGAGAATTAATAGTATTTTATTTAATTTGTGTAACTTAGAACCCCAAAATTGTTGTTGATTTCTTAGATTGATATCTTCCTCCATATTCACAAAAACAAAATGTTTGTCATTTTTGTTTATTGTGTTTTCCTCTCCACATTAGTAAATAAATTCCCAAGAGCAGGGACAGGCTTATTGCTTGACAGATCCCCACAATGTCTGCATGCAATGCTAGTTAATAAAAGTTGTTGCTTGACTAAGACAAGACTGAAATCTGTAGGAAATTACAGTTGCTAAAAGCAATTATATTTTTCATATGCATATACTTTTACAGTAGTAAGAACCCTGAAAGTAACACATTTCATCTTGTAAGCATAAATATAAAATCTCACAGAAAAAAAATGTCTTAAGTCACATATTGGCCAACAAGTACTTTTTGTGTATTTGCCTCATATAAGACGCTATGCCAGGCTATAGGGCATATGAAAAATCTAGGGCATAGCTCATGCCCCTGCCGTCTGGGGTGCTGCTCTAGCTGGGGAATAAAATATCCAGATGAGGAAAGACACATTGTTTAATGTAGCATTTGTGACAGAAAAACCGTAGCTCTGGGTAAATAGACTGGGGTTTTGACTGGTCTCTGGTATAACGTCAAGTGTGATCATATCACAGTTATACTTTATCCAGTGCTTGGGTGTCTACGATGTACATGTAAGAGACTTCATCTCTACGTTTACTTCCAGACCTAACATACTATGAACAATTTAGATTTAGGAAGCTGTATTTGGATTGTTTTGGTTCAAAGTGACTAAACACCTGACTTACAATAACTTAATTGGAAAAAAATATCTAGCTTCAGGCATAGCTGGATCCAGCTACTCAAAATATATCTCCAGGATGCATTTCTCAGTTTTGCTTTCTTCCCTATCAAAGGGATCCCCCTTCTCAAAGGCAAGATGGCTGCCAGCAGGTCCACATTTTCATCCTCACAATTCCAAAACTAGTGGAAAGAAAATGAGCTTTCCTTTCTCCTAAGTTTGAATATACATCCTGATCTGATTCTCTGGCCCAGATTGGGACTCATGCTCATCTCTGAACTAGCTGCTGTGACTGGGGGGATGTTGTGAGGACTGGGTTTCACTTCTGGAAAGAAGCCAAGCCCACCCACACCAGTGGTCTGAGTGGGGGAAGGAGTGGTCTTCCACAGAAAAATTGGGGTGCTCTTAATATAAGAAGGGTTAATGCATGGTTGGCTGGCCAAAACGAGATGTCCACTACAGAACAGCAAAAGAAGCAGCATGCAGGAAATAGGAGAAGAGAAAGAAAAGCACAAAGGGCGAGGGAGATTATGAGGATGGGAGGAACAGGTGGAAATAGTGGACCAGAATGTTTTGAACCCTCAGAGGCTGAGAATTGACATTGAAGCCATCAAAGGAGCAAAGTGCCCTTCCCTTAAAGCACAATCTCTTGGGCCGACTGCCTGTGGTTGGCCGCTGCCACAGGCACGTTCAGCAGCTGTCCACATGCCCGTGCAGCGGCCCTCCTCTCACGGCTCTGTCCTGTGGATTTTGCCCTTGTGAGCTTTGGTTCAGTGCTGGCTGGTGGAGGGGGCTGCGTTGTCCGTCCTTCTGTGAAGATGAACGTCCACTTTGGTCTACACTGCAGAAGTCCAGAGCCCGGACCTAACACAGTAACACATATGTATTGATGCTAAGTGAGGAGTGTTCTCACACTGCATCAGGCCCTTCGGGGCACAAGAAAGGAAGGTAAAAACCAGGGTGTTTGCCCTCCAAAAACTTAAAACTTATTTGTAGGGAATAAGATATTAAAAAGTACAATTGGAAACCAGGATATAATTGAGGTTTGAAATGGCTATCACAGAGAAGGTATGTCACAGAGGTTGGGAAAGAAGAAATGGTGGCCTGCAGGGGGGAGGAAGGCTCTGAGGGGCCATGGGCCTTCCTCTGGGAGTGGGGAGCAGCAGGGATCTGAAAGGCTGTGGGGAAGAGCAGAGAGGGGACAAAACTGGAAACCACATTGACCAGTTGAACAAAGGATACCGTGAAAGATACAAGGTAATGGCCAGATGAAGAGAGACACAGGGCAAGGTCCCCTATAAAGGAGCTTCTATCCTCATGGAGCTTGGGGCCTGACTCGATGGCACATGGGAGTGTTCAGGTTCCCCAAGCGTGGAAGCTCTCTCCAACATAGAAGTAGATGCAAAAAAAGAGATATATTTTTCTCATGGGTGTTTGTGAGAGTTTCACTGAACAGTTATGATTGACTAAATCACTGGCCTTTCGCTGATTCAACCTCCAGCATCCACCCCCCACCCCCAACCACCACACCACCACTCTGGGTCCAAAAGTCTCATTAACCCATTTCACCTTTAAGGCTCTGAAGTGTTTTCAGGAACTGTGGGTGAAGACCAAATACAGTTGGGAAATATATATCTGGTCAACTGAATGACCAAATAGGTATTTCTTACACCTCGTTATATCCCAAGGGAAGACAGGGAGAAGGGGTGTTGGGAAGACTTGGGGAGTTAGTCTAGATGAGAATGGCTGCAGTAGGAAACGCAGAAGAGAACCCAGGGTTTCAAGAGGGAGTGCTAGGGATTCAGTGCTGGTGTCTTCAGCCACAGGCCATCAAGGAAGAAGCTACCCTAGGAGGGGAATGTGGAAGCTGAGGTGCCAGAGACCCCCAGAGAGAAGAGTTCAGAGGGCAGGGACCAAGCCAGACAGCCATCCGTGCAGAATTTTGGAGTCTTGAGATGTGCAGATGAAGGGCACGCAGAAGGAGACCAGCCGGCTGAAGGAGGGGCTTGGAAAGCAAGTTAGCAGGGTGATAAGAAGAAACAGGCTATCTATGAATTCAGAAGTTTCATCTAAGAAACTGATCAAACAAACACAAGATAAAATAAATGAATATGTAGCACTGCGGGTTGTGAGCTGCCTCCCCAGGCCAGCCATCACCCCACTGCATTGTTTGTTTCCCTGCTTATGCGTTCTCACCCCTGAGTAAGGACTTTCTGCAGCAGGGCAATGACTCCGTCCTCTTGACCTTGCTGTATTTGGAGCTTTGGATGGCACCTGTGCCACAGAAATAATGCAGCTTCCATGTCTCTGTTGAGTGAGTTTGACAGCACTGAATTCTTAGAAAGCTGTCACAGGCCAGATTTTGTTATGAAAGACTCTAAGGAATTATAAAAATGTCTTGAGTAGGAATTTAATTCATGCAAATGTTCCTTAAATAAATAGATAATTTGGCTGGAGAAAACATATGGGGGGTTATGTAGGGGTTGTACACAGGTTTTTCTCATTTTAAACCAATTCAGGGAGGAAGGCTGGGATTCACACCCAAAGGTGAATGAGTGAGTATGTATCATTCCAGAGACATATAAGTTTCCTGGCCAGCACAATAAGGTGCTCTGCACCCTCCTGTTTCTGTAGGTAGCTGATGACCATGAACAAGTCCCTTTTTCTTTATGGGCTCCATTTTTTTAATTTTACAGCCAGGGGTTAGACCAGTACTTCATAAAATCCCTTCCACCTTAAGACTACTATGATTCTAAGATTCCAACTATTACCATTTATGTAGCCTTTTCTCACTTAAATATATTGGCATCAATAAAAACTTTTTCTGTTGTTCCAAAATTTGCTAATTTGTTAGCATTGCCTGTGCAAAATCCAATGTGCAAAAAATGTTTTTATTTCATAATTCTGGACAAAGCACCAGTAGCAAGATGCAAGATCCCCATTTTCAGACTCCTCTTACTTTTATGGCATCTTAAAGCCGGTTCCATGTTATAAATTACATTTTACTTTACAAGGAGACGCTATGACTAAGATTCCTAAGATAGGAAAAGTTCCTTGCCTTTCCAACTCCCCCACATTTTAGCTCTCTATTACTGGCCGAACTTTTTATAAAGAAGGCACATGTTGAAAGTTCTTTGTTCTGAGGTCTTTTGCTCTCCCAAGGACCTCAGCATGTGTGGGCTCCACTCAGGAGTCTGATAAGTTTTACTTGATGATCTACACATGGCAAAAGGCAGACGAGATAATGCAGGTCCATAAAAATCTTTTTCTCGTTCTGCATTTCAGATTTCAGCTCCCTTTAAATAAAGTCTGTAGCCATAGAGATAACAGATAATAAGTAGAAAGCAAGCTAATAAATCACCTGCTGATCAATATGCCATAGAAAATGTAGTTGCCAAAGAGTGAAGTGATGAAGTTACACATCACTTTTTAACAGGTAACTAAGGCTTCCCAACTTTTCCTGATAACCAAGACTATTTTTATAGATAGAATTCTTAAGGTAACAAATGAAATCAAACATTACTAGAAATTGAATTAGTAATTTAGATACAAAGGCTTATTTTATTTTCCATAATTTTGAAAAATCCCCCTTTTAATCTCACTCTTGGATTTATCAGCCTCCCCTGAGAAAAGCAAGTTGAAATTTTACATTTTACTTTTAGGGTACATGTTAAGTGGCTAAAAACATGAAACCTTTTAAATTACCAGTGAGTGAAGATATCTAACCAGCTGCTCTGTCCCTTGAAGATATTTAATAATATCTGAGAAGACAAATACACAGATAATTATGTGCTAAATGGATATACAAAATGAACAGCAGTAAGAATTGGACACAGTACTTTTTTTCCCCCAGCAAATACCAAAATCCCACTGGATGGTAACTCCTTTTCTACATAAGAATATTTACTGTTGTTGATTCAGTGTCATCAGGGGAATTTTGGGGATTGGAGGGGAAACCTAAGGGGGAAATATTTAAAATGAATGAGTACAACAAAGACCATTAAAAGGAACATTTTTATTTGGTTGAAGATACACAAAAAACTTCTT